GTTGAATTAATTAATTGTTTGTGCCATTTTTAAACCTTATTACTAATTACAACAACAAAATTAACTAATAATAATAATAATAATAATAATAATAATAATAATAACAAAATAACAATTACAGTATCGCATCAACAATAACACATTCATCAATGCCCACTCACCCTGCAATGCAATCAGATTCGCGGACACCTCATTGGTGAAGTCCACCAAGAACTCGAGAGTGTCCTGATCGCAGTTCAATCGGATCGGCAGCATCGACAGCTTCATTTTGCCTTCGTTCTGATGCGTCTCCACCAATCGCAACGCAAACATCGGGGCACACGTACGACGTGGCAACTGCCCACTTGCATACTGCAAAGCATTATTATTACTACTGCCATCACATAATAATAATAAAACAAATACAATAAAATAACAACAATAAAAGATCTTGATATATCTGAATATCTTGATATCTGATCTGTTTTTGATATCTGATCTGATATAATTGAAAAAACACCTGATATAACATCTTGTTGATCTGTGATAATGCCAACTTATCACGCATCTCGATCTCATGTACTGTCAACAGATTCATCGATAATATCGATGCATCCGCACCGAACATTTGATAAACAAATGACATCTAAAATTAACATTCATTATATACAANTCTGTTTTTGATATCTGATCTGATATATTTGAAAAAACACCTGATATAACATCTTGTTGATCTGTGATAATGCCAACTTATCACGCATCTCGATCTCATGTACTGTCAACAGATTCATCGATAATATCGATGCATCCGCACCGAACATTTGATAAACAAATGACATCTAAAATTAACATTCATAATATACAATAATAACAATAATAAAACAACAACAATAACAATCATAAAAATAAACCTTTGATAACTGAATCTCCACATGCACCGAATGATCCCTATTCACTCCGCCCGTCGCGTCTGCTTCCAGTCGCTGTCCTGGTCCATATCCGTATCGAAACTCCTCACAACTATAGGTTTTCGGTGCCCTCTTCTTGTCACCTGAACTCACTCACCATACAAACAATCAACAACAACAACACTACAAACAATCACCACCACAAACCATAAAACCACTCACCAAAATCATTCCCTCCATACAAATGCACCAGCAACGACACATCCCTCACGATATATCTAATTAAAGGTGTAGCAAAATCGCTCGGCAATCTCAAAATGTCGTCGTTGTAGTGCTCATTCGGAATCTCGAACCAGTTATCTATCAACTTCACATCATCACTCAGCAATCGTATCCGTGGCTCACCACCGACATTCTGCAATCAATCAATCAATCAAAATCAACTGAACATTTCTATCAGACTCCCTAAAATTATTATTATTATCACTATTACTATTACTATTATTGTTACTATTATTACTATTATTATTCCCGAAAATATTATTCACCCATCTACTCCATCTATAAATTAAAACTTTTTGCACCGTTCCTTTTCGTACACTCAATCAATAACAAAACAATAATAACAACAATAAATAAAAACAAAAAACATCACCCACCGTAATCCCACTCCCCGGAATTTCGTCCACAACGCAGAACCCTTCATCCGTTCCCGATGATACACTCCTCTGTCGATCGTTATCAAATACTGTCGAATCATCAAAGTCTACACAAACCAAATTACTATCGTACTCAATAATACAATTAAATTCAATACCAATCCAATTAAAATAATAATAATAACAATAATAATAAAAACAACAATAAAACAATAACAAAAAGCTACTACCATTCAACGCGTCATTAATTAAACTCTTTTTACACGAGTCCAACGACCCCAACTGCTCCACCACCGCATCACCTCCGAACTCGACTCCTTCCCCATCCTTCCCTCTGCCGCTACTTATCGAGGGTGTACCTCGCATCGGTGACGACGTTATGGCTGACTGCACCATGTCCTTTAATACAATAACAATATTAATTATAATAAAATAACAACAACAATAATAATAATAACAATAATAATAATAATAATAATAACAATAATAATACTACTATAAATAAGACTAATAACCACCTGCAATACCCTCAGCTGTCTATCGGCTGTCGATGACACCCGAATGGTGTCTACCACTCCCCTTTCTCGCAATTCATTCTGTGCGCACGATACCTCGCTGTGCTTTATTTTCGCTGAATAATCATTCTTTTCATTTACCGTCTCTGAATTACTTTTATCTATTAACAAAACTACAATAACAATAAAGTAATTAAAAAATAATAATTATAAAATAGTAATATTAATAATAATAATAAATAACAACCCACCACGCCCCGAATCCCTACTCGCAGCACTACCCTTTGACTTCCTCATCAAATCACACTCTCTCAACTCAGTTAACACATTTATCAACGTTACCAACGAGTCTGCACACGTCCACACCTCAATTACAATAACAAAACAATAACAATACAACTTAATAGCCGCTTAATAATAATTATAATAATTAATAATAATAATAATAATAATAATAATAAATAAATAATTAATATAAATAATAATAAATAAATAACACTAAATAAATAAATAAATCATTACCTTAACTAAATCATTTTTGCACTTCACTTCAATCAATGGACACTTCAACTGCTTATGAGCCGCCGCACGTACCTTCAATCTCATACACCCAATAATAACAATATCAAACACTCATCACAATAATTAACAATAATAAATAATAATAATAACAATAATAAATAATACCAACAATAAAAATACCCAACCAACCTCGATCTGAAACAGTCCCATCGAAAGCATCTGCACATATTTACTACCGTAACTATTTGGTGACCGCCTCGAATCACCCTCAAACTTCACACTATTTCTCTTCGTTGATTTCCCTTCTTTCCGTTCATCCAAAAATAATTTCGTCTCCTCGAATAAACACTCAAATTTGTACACCTCTGCATTTTGCACTATGCGGCTGTTTACATTGCACGAGCCGAGAACCAATCTCAAATTATTACTATTATTATTATTATTATTATCATATTACATTATTATACTATTACTATCCATTATATCATACTATTATACTATCGTACATACCACATCATATTATTATTATTACATCATATCTTTATTATACTGTTACCATATTACTATATTACCATNATTACTATTACTATTATACTAGTATTACTATTGTATTACAACTAAATAAATGAATCAAATTACCGCAATCTAATAGCAGAATCTGGCTTCACACAGCAATGGTCATAAGCCAACATCGTTGATACCATATGCAGATGCAACTCCATTGTTATTTCTGGTAAGTCGTAGCCTGAATAAAGAAGTATTATTTATAAAACAATAATAATAATAATAATAATAATAATAATAATAATAACAATAAAACAATAAAAAAAACAACGCTCACCCGGTATCGCATAATCAACTACACTGAAGAACTCGGCCAACTGACCCAACCAAAAGTGACCCGCATCGGCGAATGGCATCAAATTTATTTGACTATTACGCAGCGCTGTAGCCACAAGCACATTCTGCAAGCTATTTCTATATCTTTATTATTATTAATTTAATAATAATAATATAATAAATTACTAATACAAAAATAAATTATATTATTATTAATACAATAAACATTACAAACAATAACAACAATCGATCGAACAATCGAAATATATTTTCGTGCTCCTTCTCAGTCCCTCTCCCTAGAAATTATTTAGCACTATGGCACGGAGAGTAGCCCGAAACCTGTGCGCTTGCCAAATCAAGTAAGTAAGTGATCAATAAAGTAAGTGATCGAATTTCAAGAAGACTGCTGGAGATCAGATGCAAGCGCAAACGCTATTATAAGCAAACGTCAGCTGCCAGCGCGCAAAGAAGACTGCCAACGAAACAAGAATGTGATGATATCAGTGATTAAGGTGATGATAACAGAGAGACATTAACTCGTTATGAGTTACTGCAATTGAATTTATTGATAAAATAAATAATACTACTTGCAATAGAGCAATAATCCAAAGCAAATCCATCGCTATAACAACAGCAGACCAATATGGAAGAAGCAACTTCGATCGAAATCGGAACAAAACAAGACAAGACACAAACCAAATCAAAATCATCAAAATAAACCGAACCACCTCAACAACAACTGCAATAACAGCCAAATTACTACAACTACTCACCAATGGTTTCGGTGGTAATGGTGGTGGTGTTCGTTTAACCGCTGCATTCGTATTTACAGCAGCATTCGTATTCGATGCTGCTACTGCTGCGGCGGCTTGCTGACTTGTCGCTTGAGGTGTTCCTGCTGCTGCTGCTGCTGCGGCTGTAACATCTGTTGATGATGTTGCTCTAGTTGGTGAAGTTGCACTAGCAACACCACATAACGATGCCGATGCCGATGACGATGCCACTGGCGATTGCATGATGCCCGATGTTGGGCTCTGCACGACAACATTCTGCTGATGCTGCTGTCGACTGCCAGTTGATGAAGAATACGCACAAATATCTCCAGCTCCAGCCCCAGCCCCAGCCCCACTTACCGTTTCATTTCCACCACTAGCAGTCAGTCCACTTGATGGTGTTATCGGTTGCAGTTGTGCGGGCGCATTTGCTGTTGTTGTCAAATTATCACGGTGACTCGAAATACGACTGCAAGCATCCATCACTTACATTCTCATTTCATTATTATACATTCTTCAGTGTAATCCTTTTGTACACATTCTATTTTACTCTCAATTACAACAATAACCATAATAATATTCATTCAGAAATAACTACAAATAAATACCTCGATGAAAGACGAGAGGGTGGAATGGGTGGTGCGGGCACAGGTTTCGACTGCCGGGGTGGTAGTAAAGGGGGCATCGGCCCAACCTGATGATGTTGACTTATTGCTGCTGCTGCTGCTGCAGCTACTATCTCACTCTCATCTGACGAAGTTCTCATCGCTAAAAAAACAATTATAAATTCTAATTCTAATTTTACTATTACAAAACAGTAAAGAACTGTAATCCTATTTGTAACAATTAAGTTGATTATAGCAGTAATCATAATAATAATAATAATAATAATAATAATAACAATAATAGTAACTACAACAACAGTAATAATAATAGTAATAATAATAGCACAAATAACCAAAAAAATTTCAACAATTACTCACTATTTCCAAGACTATCGGTTTTGGTTCGTTGTGGATGAGAATTGGAGCTTTCCTCATCGTCAATATCGTCGTCAGATGGCAACTGTGATTTGGTCAACATGAATTTTTGTTTTTCGGATTCTTGTGTCATCACTGTCTTCGCATAGAACTTCAACGCAGTGACCACGGCTGATGGATTCTTCTTCTGATCTGCTTCACTGAACATTCACAAAATTCACCACCACCACCAAAATCAGATTTTTAAAAACGACCCAAACTTGTCCCACCTGATGTCACGCAGTAACGTGTCCAACCACGGCTGCGGTAGACCCGTGAACTTTTTGCCGTCATAACCGACATGTATTCGATGAACAGCATTATAAGGTGAACTGATCTCGTTTGGACCCGTAAACGACGCACTACTATTCGATGCGGTGTTATTATTGTTTGCATTACCTATGCTCGCAGCTGATGACGGCAGTGTACCCACTCCTGCACCGTCCAGCTCATTATTATTACTCGTTGCTGTGCCGCTAAAGAAACGTCCGAAAATATTTCGAAGACGAACCTGTAAGACGAACATCATTAGCAATATTATATTACTCGTAAGCAACATTCAATATTATTACTATTTCTCCTCTTATTACTATAATAATAATACTAATACTTACTTTAGACTTCTCTTTCTCTCGTGGCGTTGATGACATTTTTTGTATTCGTTCACATCGACGATCTCTTCAAAAATAGACTCTCAACAATATCTGCTCTATCGTATAAATCTGCTGCTTTGCATATATGAATAATACTTATACATATACCAGAATATATGACAAGCCAAGCAAACGTGATAAGTGATAAATTCAACACAACCCTTTTATGATATGATATGATATGAATGACGATAACAACCTGAAAATATCAACCATATTTCACCGTAACAACGCTTCAAAACAAAGAGGCACGCCAGCGAACTAGCATGACCACCTTAACTGTGAAACGATGTTTTCAATTCCAAACCATTCATCATCACTTCAGTTTCCGATTGATCAGCATTCAACATTATTCATTTCATGATCCGGTAAATTATTACTCACGCGCTAATATCACATCATATCATAGACAAACGAACAAACACACACGCAAACGGGTGATAATCAGCAGCAGCAGCACTAACGATATCAAATGAAATCCTAACAGACACATTTTCAACATGCATGGATACACTGCCTAATATTGCTTTCTTCCTTCCTTGTTCGTAATCAATTCACTCGGTAATTAATGACAACAGTTATAAAAACAGTAGCAGCAGCATTATCAATAACCAGTGATAAGCCACAGCAGCTTCTGATCACACCATTGCACTCACTCAAACTAATCCTCATATAACGACTGTAATGAGGATGACGATGAGCGCATTTATTTCTCTTTCTAAACTGATCACTAACCATATTCACAATTACAAAAATAAACAGCACCCGCAATACTACAGATGATTAGACGATGGAACAAAACTAACGTAATAATAATAATAAAAACAATAACAACAATGAATCATCGCATAAAAATTTATCATTTCATAAAGCAGCACACCGCACCCAACGCTGCTTCATAGAGTAGTAATGTTTTTTTGGTGCCCTCGCTGTACACACAAAGAACACCAACCAACCAACCATCATTATCACCAAAACAATATATGTAAACTTCACTGCAGATAATACAAGTTCAACGACACGCCACACACAATCAACCATCAACTACTGCTCCCAGCACCTCAGAATGCCCCACTCAACCCCCAACTAGCCATTCAAGCCGCTATCATCACCACATTTTGTTGATCCGATCTTAAGCTCTTAATTAATTACGTTCGTTGCAACAATAAACCGCCTCTGCTGCTAAACAAACAAACAAACACACACATTTCATTCCATATGTACAGTCCGTCGCAATTGGAGGATGATATCTACAGATTGAGAACAATGTTGGCATTTGGCCATCATTCGTACACCATTCCAACTAGGACCAACAATTTGCTCGATGTTCAAATTCTAGCAGCACTACTAACTTCTATGGGTCTCAAACACTGGTTATGATAAAATTCTAGGGTGCTTTCGATAAAACCTATCAATTAGAAGTGATAAGCTGATAAGGCAGAGTAAGTATCAGTTAAGGAACAACTCAAACAACCATTTGATGTTCGTTGTTGAAACATCATGCAGATACATTCATCTTTCTAAACGGCTATCTATCATGAGTTCAGCTTGAGACAACTACGATCAGCTGCGAATAATCAACATAGAAAATAGCCGAATTAATCCATCATTCATAACGAATAAGGTCACCGATTGATGAACACAACAGTACAACAATTTCAACTTCACATAACCCCCACCACACGCATATCCATATCCATATCCACATCCATCCATTCATCAATCCCGAGCGCAATTCGAATCGCCGCTTTTCACTTATCATCACCATACAAATAGGCGTAATTTAGTACACTTTCAAGTTAGATTTCCTCCTTTCCCCAGTTTAAGCTCACTAGTTCAAGCGTCTAATCTTAGTCTCCTCACACCTTGCAAATACACACAATTCCTCTCGTGGCTGACTGGCTGCAATCATCTCAAATAACTGAAGCAATTATTCCGTTTAAGCTGACAATCAGCTCAGCAAAAATTGCTCTATGGAAGAACGTCGACGTCGTGATCTGACAAAAATCAGCCTGACAAAAATGACAAAAAACGACAAAATACGTAGAATGACAGAATGCGTCCAATCTGACAAAACACGTAGATTCGCCACTAATTCAACTGAACCATAACTTGCTTCTTCAATTAATCAACTGCCATCATGCACTACTCACTTCTTTGAAGGCAAACTGCTCAAACAAACTACTAATCAAAGTACATGCAAATAAATAAATCCTTCAAATATATTCACAAAGAAGAAGAATACTTTCATAACAGCAACTTTAACATTACTATTACTATCTTGTCATTACTATTATTATTGTTACTTTCATTAGTCATTAGCAAGTAGTTCAATTCAAGCCCAGCATAACTTTGTCATGCTCTTTTACAGATTATTAATGACGGCCAAATTACAACCATTCTAGGTGTGACAAACAGTAACAATATTAATCAGTATTGTGATCCTCATAACAATAACAACATTAATAATAATAATAAT